GTCGAGCCATGCCCAAACTACTTGGTAATCGACGACGCGGTAGCAAAGCTGTTGTGAAGTGCGCCCTGGCCACAGAGAAGGCTGGGTACGGTACTTATTTTTTGGAGTGCAGTACGCTGGAGAGTGCTGATCAGGATCGCAGACTCATATGACTTACAAAAAGTACGGGACCTCCAACAGATGTGTGAACGTACGGGGTGGAAACTGGGCACAAGATGTAGACGAGATTGTTAGTAAATGATGTTTTAGTGACGTCACGGTCATTCGGATAGTGTATCTTTCGTTTCGGAGGGAAGGCTTTGATGATATTTTTCCTGTGGACTTCCTTGTCGCTAATGTTTTTAATATCTCTCGTGTGAGATACAAGCATGAAGTGGGACTTAGAAGTCGAAAAGTGAAGTAACAACAACAACTGTACTCATGTAACAATTCCTAACAATTCAACGGTCATTGTAATTGTTAACGACGATGTGTAAAGTTTTGTAGAAATACTGTTTTGAAAGCACCAGGATTTTACGAAAAGTGAAGTAACAACAACTGTACTCTTCAGTACTCATGTAACAATGAATGCTTAATTCTAACAATTCAGCGATCATTGTAATTGCTAACAAGGAAGTGTAAAGTTTTGATGAAACACGTCATGAAAGCACTAGGATGTTACGGTGTAACATAAATTTACATCATATGACTTGTATATATATTACAACTTTGAACTTAATAGAGTAACTTTCTCGATTGACGTGTTGTGCACGAGTATTTCATTCTAATATTTCTCTAATCTTTGTTACCCACTAGTTCACTTTACAGTCCAACCTCCACTAACAGTCACCAAGGCGGACATTGTGACTTTGGTACTTTTTGTGAGCGTACAAGGATGTCGCTTAACATGACCGTGTGTGGCATGCACAGAATATGAAAATGTAAAACCTTGCATGCTCGAAATAATAATGGTCTTAAACGTAGATAAAAAAACCTGCACAGTAGCTAGAGAAAATTATGATTGAGGCAACGCCCATGAAAAAATTATGACTGAGGCAATGTGCATGATTAAATTTTCTCCCAAGGTACATTGTATTTTGGGTTTTTATGATGACTATAGACAACAAAAACAAAAAAATGACTGAGGCAAGTGTCTGATAGTTTGCCTGTTGACTAGCTACGACCCAGCTGCTATGTGGCATTACAATTGAAAACCAAAGTGGAACATTTGTGTTCAAGACTGGGAAAGATTGAGGCAGAATAAACGAAAGAAATTGACCTTGAAAAATTGCAATTTAAAATTTTTATGACACGTATGATAGTTTTTTGTTGTGTCTCTCTAGTCATTACGTATATGGA